ATGGTGTTCTGCTTTTTTTTTTTTTTTTTTTAAGAATTAAAATTTAAATGAAGTAATTTAAACTTAAAATTTAAGAATTAAATTTTAATTTTATTTATCATTATGATTATTTTAAAATTTGCTTCAGGGCATGAGCACTCCCCAGAGAGAGACAGAGAACGAAGAAAAGTGAGAAAGCAAGTGCCAGGTCTTGGATCTGAACCATGGTCGGCTACGTGGGAGTCCTTAACCATCACATCACCTAGGGGCCACCCAATTTAGTCTTTAAATGAAATCAAAGTTAGTTTGTTCCCATTTTACAGATAATAAAATCAGAGTGCATGACCAAGGAACACTGCAAGCAGCTCAGCAGTCTGGAAGCACAGAAGGCAGCAGAAGTCAGGGTCAGGGTTAACTAGTTAGGAGGAAGGCCCAGATCCAGCTAGAAAAGAAGCATCTGGAAGATGGATCAAAATCAGGGCTTTGGTAAATAATTTCAGAACATTATATTGATTCAATCACAGGGAATCATCTGTTTTAGGATCCTAGATGCCAAGAAATCATTAACTCATTTGATTCCACACACGTGTTTCAACCAGTACCATCGGGAATGTTTGATTTAGTTAACACAACAGCAAAGCCAGGGAAGACTGACAGCATGAGGAGCTCTTGTAAAACAGTATGTTCCTTCGCTCTAGGTATCAGCCCCAAGAACAGGCTCCCTTTCTGGGGGCAGGATAGAGTGGAGCTAGAGGTTGGGTCTTCAAGGAATATATATGATAAATACTGATTGCATCAAGGGAAGAAGAAAGAAAAATATTTTGTAGGATGGAAAAGAAATATGGGTAAAAGGTAGCAAGAGCTGTATATCATAATATTTTCTTTTAAAATTTCGGATTTGCACAAGGAGACTAAAATAATATTAGACATCATTTAGAAAACTATTTTTTAAATATTAGGAGAAATTCATAAAAATCTAAGCACTAGATCATAAGCAGTATGGCCTTTCACTTCTTCGATTTATGGAATAATCTTACATGTTTTCTTTTTGCAGCATTCCAAATGTTTCCACAAAAAAATATCGTGTTTCTTAACACAACTTGGGCAGTGTTTCTACTATTAAGTAAACTTCAGTACTTTATCAAAGACTATCTCCTACATCCATACCTCAGGATTCCAGTCTCTTTCTCAAGAAAAGCATTATTCATATAATATTATTATTCTCTGTCTTTATAACAGTAAAACTCATTCAGCTTCCGACTCTTCTAGTGCTTCAACAGCAGAGGATAAGTCTTCCCAATGACAGAGTAACAGAGCCAGTGAAATGAACATTACCTAGCAATCTATCCAAAAAGAAAATTATGTTGTTGAGGTTGCTATTTTTAATGACCCATCACTATTTCTCTGAATTGTTTAAACATAAGAAACAATTTTTTGTTTATCAAATACAGAGAAATTTATGAAACCTTAATTCTAATGCTGACACTTGTATTGTAAAACTTAAAACTCACATCCTACCAGTGAAGTGTACATTGGTATAATAATTCACAATGTACAAATCACCTTAAATATATTAATTTCTTAGGTTATATCATTCTACTTTTACAAACTGATATTACGTGCAATGTCAGAAGTGAAAGTAACGTTTTAGTAGAAAGGGATTCTTAGCAATGTTATTTATAATAGTGAGATACTGTAAATAGCCTGCATTCCCAGAAATCGATAAATAGTATAATAAACTATGAAGCATCCATAGAACAAAAATAACATGCAACTATCAAAAATCATATTTTCAAGTAACTAGGAGTTTCAAGATTCAACACTTAACTTTAATTTTGTGGAAACAAAGCATAACAAAAATTGAAGAGAAAAAACCATAAGCACTAATAATAGTAGATATTATTATTAATAATAAAGAAAAGTAATCAGAAAGATCAATACACATTTTTTTAAAAGACAAAAAGTGTGGTATAAAATGTTGTTAAAAATAAATGCTGAGGCCAGAAGGTGGAGTGCTGGTTAAGATTGCTGGACTCTCACATGACAGACTGTGGTTCGAGTCCCAGACCTGGCGGATTGCTTTCTCATTCTCTCTCTCTCTCTGGTCAAGTTAAAAAATAAGTAAATAAATAAATAAAGTTAAATAAAATAATTCTTTAAAAAAGATAAATAAATGCCAAGTTCACCTTTGTAGTTTTTGGACTTCACTTTGATTGTTTGTTTTTTTTTTAAAGAATGATTTATTTTATTTCATTTTCTTTTATTTTAATTTGACCAGAGAGAGAGAAGGAAAGTGAGAAAGCAAGCCATCAGATCTGGGACTCAAGTCATGGTCAGCTATGTGGAAGTCCAGTGCCTTAACCACTACACCACCTGCCAGCCCCTTGATTCCTTTTTATACTAACGTCATGGGGCTTAACATTTTTCCTGTCTAACTTAGCAATATTGTGTTTCATGTAATGTAAGATAAATCCATTATTATAAACCATTTACCATCAAGGAAGAAAAAAATACTGCCAATTTAACGATAACATCACTTAATTTTACATAATTTAATGTGCATCTTAGAACTGACCAAGTATTGAATGACATTTCTGATATCCTGTTTTACACATCTCTATCCATAGTTTGCCGTTATGTTGGAACACTTGTCATTTTGCTCAGCTAATATCTTTATGAAAAAAACAAGCCTTATCTGTGATAGAAATCATTTTTTCCTACACCAAAGGAACTTAGTTCTGGTTTAGAAAAAAAACAGTAAGTTTTATTGTGTATATTTTGTGTTGAGAATCCAGCCATTTTTGATGAGTTAATATTATTTCTAAAAGCTTTGCCATACCTCAGTGCTTTTATGAAATGTGATTCAGATAACTGATCAGCAAATTTAATTTAGCAATCTTTTCATTCTCAAGTGGAAAAGAAAACGATACCAGTTATACCAAAGCACATGAAGCCAAGTGGGAAGACTGGGGATAAGAGAGGCTTAACTACTCGTTAAATTTCTATGCACACTTTTTACATTTTAATTGGTATAATTTATTTGAAAATACATAAGTCATCCTGGCCATTCATACTTTGATTGAGCACACTCATTGTTCGAATATCCACAAAGGAAACCCCCCATGGAAGACAGAGGCCAGATTAAGATGGTTGTGCATTAGTTAGTTACTTTTTTATTTAATGAAATCTTACTTCTTTTTAGTTTTCTTTCTGTCCAAAAAGTGATCAGAGCAGGACGAATTTCCAATGCCATGTTCACCATATCAACCATAAAACAAAAAATCAAAAAAATTTACTTCTAATTAAAGTAAAACTTAATGATTCAAACTTTGTGCATTGAAAATATCCTTGATTCAAAAATGTATACTTTACAAAAAAATCTCATTTTATTTGTAGTTTTTGTTTGGCAGAGGCTAGGTTGGGACTAGCAGGCAGGAAAGAGTAAACAAAGGTTAAAAAGGCTTAAAAGCAATTACATTTTTAAATCTACACAAGTTTACACAGCACATATTACTTATGTGTGAACAAAAATGAAAGCCAGGTTGTGCGTCTTCAATAAATCTGACCCCAAGCTATGTTAACACACAAAATAATAGTTTATAGACAGACTTTAAATAATCATGTCTACACATTTCGCCTGTTTTATTAAGTTGCCAATTAGCAATACGCATGATTCTAACATATTCTATTTGTTTCATTCATTACAGGTTTCAGTGGTAGGAAAGCAGTTTGTGCTTGAAAACAGAAATAATGGGATCAGCAGTTAGTGTAATGGCTATGTAGCTGGACTCCCATGTAGTCAACCGCGATTCGAGTCCTGGACCCAGTGGCTTAAACTCATGCTGGGCGCGTGTGCGTGCATGCCCCAGATACCAAGAAGAGAATGGAGAAGGGATTGCGGCATGGCCATCATCCCTGGGGCGGGGGGTGATTTCTCGCTTTCTGTCTCTCTGGTTTTCTGGCGAGCACATGTTCCTATAGCAAAAACCTCTCCCAAAAAAGAAAAAAAAAAAAAAAAGAAATAATAGTCTTTCATTTGAGAGAAAGCAAGGGAGAGCGAGAGAGAGAGACAGAGAGAGTGTGTGGTGTATGTATTTGTGTCTGACTGTGTAATATATTGCAGTGAGGTCAAAACTGAGGCCAGAAAAGTACATATTTACCTTGTCTATTACACACTGCAGTTTGAAGAGTTGCATGTGGGCTTTAAAGGGGAAATTCCTGATTAGTGTAAATGTAAATGAAAAGCCAATGTTTTTCTTTGGGTTAATCATTAATGAAAAGCCTATACTAAAAGTTTAGCAACATCTGGCATTTTGATCTTTTATGAGCAAGTTTCCATTTCATTCAGCATTTAGTTTTCAATTTTATTTTTAAACTGAATATATGTTTAGAGAAGAAACACTGTTGAAGGGATAAATGAAATTCTAAGCCTATTGATATGAGGTAACTCTAAGGCTTTGTTGTTACTCTAAACTCAGTTAAGCAGTTTGGAGTCTACAACAAAAGCCAATTAATGAGAAAACAGAACAAAAGAAATAACATCTTAACACTCTATTAATTCATTGAAATGGGCAATTGCTAAGTGCTTTTTCAACTCTGTCCATATTAAGGGATGCATTCTCACTGGTTACCAAATTGTAGAAATCAAAAGTGTTTTACTGCAAATTCAGAAAGCGATCTACTTTTTGAAATATTAGCCAGCCTTCGAAAGAAGTCAATCTTCTAACATCCTTGTAATTAAATAAATAAACCAGTATTGGATATTTAATTTCATCAAAATGTATCTAGTTAGGTGAAATAAAAGCAACACTCAATACCGGAAGAAATTAAACTAAGTAAAGACAAACACTGCTCAGAGAAACATGTCTGCTAGAACATCAAGTCTGAAATACATCCAGTTTCTACTAAGTTTCAGTTTTTAACTCACTTTGTGAGACCATTCTGATCTAACTACTTAAAGAGCCAAATGCCTTTACTGTATTTCACACTTTATTACTGATCAATGTAAATACAGCACTGACCTTAATTCCAGCCAGCAGTCACAAGATATTTTGGATCAGATGAATAAAATCTGAAGAAAAAAGAGAAGAACACACAGTAAATTAAAGCAATCGAGACTTTCCTTTTACTAAAGAGGAAGGCAGAGTCAAGAGAAGTGACTTGTCCCTACCCCATGACAAATACTTACTGAAACATCCATTTATAACTGGTGCCCTGATCTTGGACTTCTCCACCTCCAGAACTATAAGAACTAAACTTGAGCTGTTTATAAGTTACCCTGTTTGTTATGACAGCTTGAACAGATTAAGATCCTTAACCTGATTTAATATCCATAAAACGCCTGTAGATTTTTTGTCTGGGATCAACAATCAACATAGATGTAACAAAGGTCAAATAAAATAATCCCAATGGCAACTGATTAATCTTTCCCTTGTTCTCTAACATCTAAGAATTGCCGTTAAAAATATGCTGAGAAGGGACCAGCAGTTAGCATAATGGCTATGTCACTGGACTCACATGTAGTCGACCATGGTTCGAGTCCCAGAACCAGTGGCTTAAACTCACACCGGACGCATGTGCCTGCATGCCCAAGATCCCTAGAGAAGAATGGAGGAGAAAGGATTGTGGTGTGGCCATACCACCTGGAGGGTGATTTCTTGATTTCTATCTCTCTGTCTCTCTCCGTCTTCCTGGCAAGCGCATGTGCCCTATAGCCAAAACCCGCATGGGGCCTGTAACAAAAACCCCCCCCCAAAAAAAAAAAAAAAAAAAAAAAAAAAAAAATGCTGAGAAGTAAATAAGCAGAAGAATGCTTTGTCAAATGAAAAGTACTGAGAAGGTAAAGAAAGGGCAAAAGCAAACCAAAATTTGTAATAAAAGTCAGCCTGTCCTCTAGATAGATAGTAATGAAAACAATTTCAAAATGACAGATTGAATTTTTTTATATATATAGTTCTTGTCATAGGGTCAGTGTGCTTGCTGGAGAGAGACAGAGAGAGATAGGGAGAGGGAAAGTGAGAAATCATCCCTTGGGGGATGGCCATGCCACAATCCCTTCTCTTCCATTCTCCCAAGATCTTGGACAAGCACATACAGGCCACCAGTTCGGGACTTGAACCACATTCAGTCATGTGGGAATCCAGAAATGTAACCATTATGCTGTCTGTCAGCCCTTCCATGAATTTTTAAAAGGATCCTGATACTATGAACAACAACAACAAATAAAATTAAATATAAAATAGTTGATTTTTTTAATCGTGAAGACAAGTGTCTAAGGAAAGTAAACTTTGTTCTATAAGAATGAATAGGTTGATACATACATGGAATTTTTTTTTTTAGAAAAAGAAATGATAGAACCAACAGGTGTCATAGTGGTTAAGATGTTGTACTCCCACATGGTCAATCAGTTTTGAGTCCTAGACCTGCAGGCTCACTTTCTCACTTTCTCTCTCTCTGGTGAGTGCATGTGCTCTAAAGCAAATTTAAAAAAATAATAATAAATACATAAGATTAAATAATTTTAAATAAAAAAAGGCATTAAAAAGAAATTATGTGAGGCATTCTTAGGGACTTTCAAGGCCTTTAGTATGTCTGTTACATTTCAAACGAACACCCAAACACCTATCATTATTTTACTTTGACACAAATATTCTTTTGCTATAAAGCTAACAGTGTCCCAACAGTGCTGTGGAGTCCCAGGGCATGAAATATATTTAATATATGGAGAAAAAAAAAGGCAATATCTGTTAAGTAGTACACAAACTACTAACTTGAAGTAGTTGGTGTTTTATTATTAGATCATACTGCATTCCTTTCAATGATGTCACAGCTTTGCAAAGTTGGGTTTTTGATAATATTTGTGATATAAAAGTGGATGTTGTATAAAAGCCAGTGTGGAATAAGAAATAAGTATGACACTGATCAATGTGGCTCCAAGGTTTGGTGTCTGGATGGTATTCCACAGATACATCCCATTAGTAAATAATGGGGATTTCTAAGTATAAAATAAATAAAAATGTTTTACATTCACTTTATATACCTTATATATTCAAAAATGCCAGTTGTTAGGACATAAATACTAACTAATTAAATAGAAGGTATATCTTTGGTCTATGGATGCCACAAACATAAAATTACTGAGATACTAAGAGGTGCCACAAACCAAGAACATTTGGATTATACTCTATTAGTGAATAATTTTTTTTTCTCTTTTCACATCTGCTCCACAGATTTAAAGAATGGAAAAAGCAGGAGAAACTAACTAACTAAATAGATAAATAAACAAATAAATAAATAAATAAAGGAGAGATAAAAAGAGAGGAAGAATAGTATGTTCCTAAGATAAGAGGAAAAATTTCTAGGCAAGGAGGAAGGACAGCAGTTCGACACACTAAGTGACTTTGTGTACAGGTGGCCGGGTGTATGGGTGGCTGAGTGGCTGAGTGCCTGTGTGCACATGTATGCTATTGTATGTGCCAAGGGTGGCTAAAATACTGGGTCATCAGGAAAGCCATGATATACTTTTATATGAAAATCCATCATGACTTTTTTGATTACCCAAGAGTACACATGAACACCAAGTGATGAAGACAATAAGTAGTGAGCACACTGCAAATATGCATTTTAAACATGTTGATTATTAATAATCATTCCCTAAAAACAAAGGAAGTATTAGAAGAGATTTTTATTCAGATCCAAGTATTCATCAGAAAAAAAAGTTGTAGTTACATAGCAATGTGGATGTACTTAATGACATAGAACTATACACTTAAAAAGTGTTCAAATGGGACAAGCAGATGCCATAATGGTTTTATCACTGGACTCCCACATGGCCAGCTGCGGTTAGAGTCCAGATCTGGTGACTTGAAACTCACACTATGCATGTGTCCATGTGAACCCAAGATTCCAGGAGGAACATGGAGGAGAAGGGATTGCGATGTGGCCATCCCCCTCGAGGGTGATTTCTCATTTTTCCTTTCACTGTCTCTGTCTCTGTCTCTCTCTTTCTCTCTCTGGTGAGCACATGTGCCCTGTGGCAAAAAAAAAAAAAAAAAGAAAACTAAAAATTGGTTCAAATGGCAAAATTTTTACATATATTTGAACACACACACAAGTGGTGATTTAGCTTAAGATCCCGTATGGTGTCTAGCTCAATAAATTGAGTGCATCTTAAATGATGAATCAGTGGATAAAGACTGCTACTTAACAAGTCAAATGGTTTAAAGAGAAAGTGGTTCACTAGGTGCCTAGAGTGAAGAAAAGTCTACATAGAACTGCCCTCTTGTTTGTGTACAAATTTTAAACCTCAATTTTTATTTGATTACAGCCCCTTCTCACTAACAGCTCTTTGGCATATTACATCAACATCCTAATCTCTTTTGATATTATTTCAAATAGATTGAATTTTATCTCTTCTATATGCAATACGAAATAAACACTTTATCTGTAAAACCAAAATATTGTGAAACTTTTCAAAAGTCAAATTCTTTGATACAATAACCAGATTTTTTTTATATGTCCCATAATGTGTCTGGGAAGACATTCCAACTTGCCTCCCTCCTTGTCGCACCCCTCACCAGCAACACCACTTCCACTTTGTTCACTGCTAAACAAACAAACAAACTTGCTTATTTTCTTTCTGATATGAGTAAAATATCAACTGTATTTAAAATACTGATTCTGTTTTAGCTATGTAAACCCTGTCTTCGAGCATGTACTTAACAAGGTCAGCACACAAAAGAATATCAATAGACACTGTTCATTGAATGAGGGTGATTAGTATTGCATTTTCCTGATTGGCTATGGTTCCAGTGTATCTCTTTAAAATTCATGTGCTGAGATTTGATTTCTCCCGTGATGGGATTAAGAAAGTGAAAATTTAATCCCACTATGGTGTTAGAAGGTATGGTCTTTTGGAGGTGATTACAAAATTGTGTTATCAGGGTATGGTCCCTTTGATTGAATCCTGATGGACCTATAAAGGGAAAAATAGTACTGACACAGACATTAAGCCAGGAAAGCTCTTGCCATGTGATGCCCTGTGCTGCCTCAGGACTCGGCAGATTCCCCATGAGTCTGACTCCAAACCTCCTAAACTGTTAGCTAAGTAAATACCTATTCTTACAAACTACCCAGTGTGCTATTCAGTTGCTAGTGACAGAAAGGCAGGCTAAAACATGATACTTTGCTGTTTTAAAAAAACAGTTGAAGATTCCCATCTTAGTGGAAATAAGAAAAATAAATAAATAAATAAAAACAAAAAACAAACAAGTCGCTCATGCAAACTTAACCTTCAAGTGAAAGAACAGTATCTTCAATTAATAAGGTTTGGAAAAATGGATATCCACATGCAAAATAATGAAATGTGACCCTTATTTTACACCGACACAAAAAATTAGCTTAAAATTTGAAGACTTAAACATAAGACCTGAAACCATAAGTCTTCTAGAAATTTATTGCTAGAACAGAGAGTTAAGCTCCTTGACATTGATCTTGACAATAATTTTTTTATATGACACCAAAAGCACAAGTAACAAAAGCAGAAGTAAACAAATAGGACTACATCAAACTGCCCAGCAAAAGAAACAATTAACAAAATTAAAAAGAAAACTACAGAATGTGATAAAATATTTGCCAACTATATATCTCACAAGGGCTTAATATTCGAAATATATAAGGAACCCACATAACTCAGTAGCAAAAATTGCAACTCATCAGCCAAAAACCCAGCAAACGAAAAGAATCAAGCTGATTTTTAAAAATGTGAAGGTCATGAATAGACATTTTTTTCCACAGAAGACAGAGAAATGGCCAAGAAGCATATAAAAAGGTTGTCCAAGTCTGTAATCATTAGGGAAATAAAAATCAAAACTGCCTGGATTGATATTACATTATACTTGTTAGGATAGCTAACATTAAAAAGATAAAAGATAACAAGTTTTAGTGAGAAGTGGAGAAAACACAACCCTGTAAATATGGGGGCCAGCAGGTGGCATGGTGGTTGGGGGCACTGGACTCCCAAATGGCCAACTATGGTTCAAGTCCCAGACCTCGTGGCTTGCTTTCATCTTT